ATCACGCCTAACAATCTTTCAGAAAGGACCATATTATTTTGGTATTAAGGCTTATAACCACCTGCCATCCAGAATCAAGAGTATGAGTAATGATGTGAAACTATTTAAACTGAGGCTAAAAAGATTTTTTCTTTCAAATTCTTTTTATTCCTTAGAGGAATACTTTAACCATGTATGTAATTAAAATTGGTAATTGTACCCCTGATATGTTATAATTTTATATCATTACCTAAATATTTTGTATCAATTATTGTTTTATAATTTTGATCATTTTATGCATTGTACACTAATATAAATCTTTTAACTGTCTCAATGACAAAAGTATGTATGTAGTTTTTGTATTTTGCGCATTTTAATCTATTAGCTTGGGACAAAATCCATATCCACTGGTCAGCTGTACCATAAGGATCAACGGAATGTATAAATGTAAATAAATAAATAAATAAAAAAATCACCCAACTGCAAAAATGAATGGTAAAAACAATAGTCAGCTTCACATTAATCTTAAAACATAAACCAGAATGTTTAATTATGTATTTTTTACACAAAATAAATAGTTAAATTGTTGTGTTGCTTATGAAAACTCAAACAGTGAAGAAAAGAAAATCCTTCCAGAAGACTACTATAGACACTTGAAGGAGAACTTGAGCAGGTAAGGGAACAGCTATGACAATTAAAGTATTCATTGCAGCATGCTTGGACTTAAGGTGACTCTAGTGATGCCCATGGGAGATGAATTGGTTTTCTAAGTTCACATTGGCTACTTATAACTTCACAGCCTGCAAACTACACCACAAAGAACTAAGCACTGTGAACCACTACATGTGACAGGAATGCAAAGGCAAAAGAGAAACAGTTCCTGCCTGTTGCAAATTCTAGGAGAAAAGGTCACCAATGAGTTTCAGCCTAACTGGCTGTCATCAGGTGTGTAACATGTTGTGATGAAGGAATCTGCTGCTTTGCTGTGATGTTGTTCTGCCTTGCTTTTTTGTAAATGCCTAAGAACATTCTAGGTTATATTGCATTATCATGCTGCTGTTATGCACGTGTCTGGTTTATATTTTTGTTGATGAATCCTCTTGTACTATGTGTTTCTGCAGGAGTGGAAGCAGAGCGGAACTTTAATCTCTCATGATCAGGTAAGTCATATCTCAAGGATGTCACAAGACAACCAGTGACCCCATGTCATGAGATGAATTTGATGCACATTTTTCTGGATCCCTGGTCTCTAACATCTGACATTCTTCCTGATGGGTCTCAGAGGCCATGAGCTTCATCCTCCACATACCTCTGGGAAGCTTGGTCCTTTGTATTCAGCAATGTAATATTTGAATGGTGAACATCACCTAGAGAAAAATATGAACAGAAATTTCATTATAATAGTGAGACGTTAAAAATTTTCATCAATAATCCATCATATTGCTGAAATGCATCAGTGTTCAACTACCCTTTTTTCACTCATGGCACACCCATGACACATGATGGCACAAGACAAAATTTAACCCCAAGAAAACGGGTAACAAAATCATACACAGCCAGAAATATGTATCTATATATAAATCCCTGCCCTTTATTATATGCGTATCAGTGAAAACAGAAGGGTGAAGGTATTCCTTCCATTCATTCCATCAAATTCTCCACAAATAAGAATGTAAAAAATTGTAACTATTGTAATTTTAATCTACTTATATATCAAATTGTTAATATTCAGAATTAACTTGACTTGTCATATATCATGTACAATGATCTACAGTGACGAAATAAATCAATCAATCAATCAATCAATCAATCCAGTTACTAAGAAATGTAAAAGTTATAAATAGGAACAAACACCAAACATTTAATTTAATTTAACATACTGCCCTGTTCTAATTATGCATGAATATAGAATTTCTTATAACAATTAATGGTGCACCTGTTGCAAAACACTGAAATACATAAAATATTAAATACTATAGCTATAAAAAATAAATATTTTTTAAAAGGGGAAGTCCTGGGGCTCATTAATGTAAAGATGATCTACATTCTGGCCATAGTAAATTACAATTTTAGAATTAATAACCAGATGATTTTGAAGCCAGAGATCAAACTGCTCAAACTATGATCTGTGGACATGATGAAACTGCTGCTGCTACTCTTTTTAACCCTTTGAATGTTGGGAACATTGCTTCAACCAGATGCTATAAAATAGCTTCAAACAAGACTGGATGGTAACTATGAACATTAAAGAGGCAAGAATTTGGAAGGAGATATTCACAGTCTACTTAAGATACCAAAAGGATTGTACTGGAGATACCATGGAAAACTATAAAAAGAAAAGTCAGGATAATTGGTAACCTGGCCAAGATATGATTAAGTCTGATATCTCTTGCATGCAAGTCTCTACCTACCTGTTCAATTTGCTATGTTTGTGAAATGCTGAAATGTACTGTAGCCAGAATATCCTTGCCTCATATATAATCTTGTTGCCCTATGACAAAGAGATGCGATCTGTATACCAAATGTGCTGCAACTGATACAGCATCACTGAAAACCAAATACATAAGGAACGTTCAAACACCACTTCCGCAGATGAATTTTGTCCTAAAACAAACAAAAGCACTCAGCACAGGCCTGTGTTCATACAAAGTGCAGAATTAAAGAATAGGTATCCTGAATTTTTCTGTACCTTCTTCATGTATTCAATCAAATGTATAAATTTGCTGTTCTCACCGACAACATTGCCTTTCCACCTCCGAACAGTAACCATGAAATGTCCCCCCGGGAAGTTCATGGTAATACCAGCCATCTGTGAAGCACAACTGCAGTCCAAATATATCAGCACACAGCACAAGTAACTTATGGAACATTTAACACTGAACCTGATCATAATCATAACAGAAAATCGGTATTATCCGCATAATTACCTTTGTAGCAGATTTTCCCAACCTTAATACCACATTATACCATCTCGTTTACCAGCAGGACCACCAACTTTGTAGAAATTTCGCACGAAAAAATGGAGGATATGTCACCCGATTCGTCCACTAAAGGTTCGACTTATTGCTACGACACTGACGTACGTGCAAGTACTCATTTACGTATTCTTACAGATAGCGCTCTAGCAGGAGAAACAGCCGCACACGGCTAACATATGTATTTTACGTGATGATATTACTACTCGTACATTCTGCACAACCTGTAAAATGAGCTTCTAATATGTACCACCAGATTTCTGCTGACATTTTTTTAAACCGCTGTAGGCCAATACCCTTATCTAGTAGTTATTAGCGTAGATCAAATACTACTACATTCTTTGAACATGATTTTGTTGCTGTTACATTCATTTACGAGAATAAATCATTTGTTATTTGAAGCACAAAACAGGGTTTTTATGAATTCTTGTAAAAATTCTGAATAAGTTTCACTTATTCGTATAGCGCCATATATAAATCCCTAATACCCACGCACCTAAAAAATGTAGGGTGAATTTAACTTTTAATTTCTCAGGAGACACAAGAAATATGAGAAAGTATTTTTATGCTATGCATCCTGTTGTGTAGATTTAGGGGTCTTTATGCCGTCACACAACGCGTTGATTCTGTTATATATAATAAGCGACTGAATTGAATATATCAGTAGATCAATCAGTTTATTATATTGAACACCACACGTTTCGGTCGTGGTTGACCATCATCAGAAAGTCACCATGGTTATTCCTGGACTTATATTCTTTGCGCAGACCAAAGGTTAGCATATTTAATAACCAGGTACACACAATAGCCTGAAACTGATCAAAAGCAGATTCACAATATTCATGCTTTAAATCACAGTACCTAGCAAAGTAACTAATTTATAAGGATTGTACAATGGACACAATTTAGCAATTCATATGTAGTTGTAAATCAAAGTAAAGTATTATATAAATTATTCTTAAAAATTATATTGTCTTCCAGGCCCTGCCATAACATAGACAACTAGTCAAGCTTCCCACCGCAACAGCCTGAGTTCGATGCCAGGTCAGGTCATGTGCGATTTGTGGGCAAAGTGGTACTGAGGCGAGTTTTTTCAGAGTACTTCGGTTCATCTGCCAGTTCTAATTTCATCAACTGCTCCACATTAATTAATCACCCTGGCATCGATGCTACATAGTCTCAATATTAACGACGTCGTTAAATAACCAACTTAAAAACTGTCGTACAGTTGGCAATAATAACCTCCTAGCACCTCTATAAAGCAAACTTACTATGATACAAGGTTCATTACGAAAATAAGTTTGGATGATAATTATCATCCAAACTTATTTTCGTAATGAACCTTGTATGCTATGCATGCAATTATAATTGCATGCATAGCACAATTTTTTGGAAATTTAAGTAATTCCACACACCACGGAATTTATATTCGTTAATACTATAGAATAACATGCACAGAATCATTTTCTCCATTTTTATGAAGTAGCGGCATTAACTCGAAAACACACAGGCCCTGCCTTTCGAAGAAAATGTAGACTATATGACATAAAATGTTCAGTTTCATCTGTCTAAAATATTTTTAGAATTACTAAATTTTTAAAGAAATCTGTAAAATCTAAAATGTGACTACATTTTTATTTTAACTGATTATTAGATTCTCGAAAGGAACTGTTGATACTGAACGTTTAAATTTTTAAATCGTGGCCACCTGAACAAGAACCATGCTTCGGCTGTGTCCATACCAACCATAGCCGAGGCAGGCGCAAGCCTAAATACAGCCACACGCGGTGAAAATTTTGCTTCACCCTTCCCCCTCAGTTAAAAACATATTTACTTTCTCAAAGCTTCGTCGCAATTAAAAACACGAAATTTCAGACAGTACAACGAAGGCCGTCAATGGTGTAATTTTTAATGAAATAATTTTATTTACAATGTTGCTTAATACTGGCAAATAATGGCGATGACTAGAATAAGAATTCAGCAGAAAATAACTTCTGTTTAATAAGAAGAAATACGAAAAAAATGTTTATAAAGTTAGCCGTCCCAGATGGTCACTTGGTTCGCCGGCCCTGGTCCTGGCCTCAGGACAGTCCAATAGGAAAGCTGTAACTACTGCATAAAACGTGTCAGGAATGCTTCTGGGAAATTATCCCCATAAATACAAATTAAAATCAAGAAGATATGTACCAAATAAACGAGTCGCCAAGAATCGAACTGATTTTTCACCAGGCTAATCATTCTATAAAAACAAATCGTGCTTATTTGTTAGCAGCCGGCACTCTGAATTTCGATGCGTCAGCCACCTATCGGTGATAGTAACAAGTACGAAGATCAACAACGACGCAACGAGTGGCGTGCGGCAATGCCTGCACTTAGCTGCAGTTGGGTGGCTTCTCTTGATGTAGGAAGTTCCTGCGCTGTCCGACGTTGTTTGGTGCATGCTTGAGAGATTCACGCGTGCGTTTCGTATGGCAGAGCGGGCAATTTGTGTCGTGTTTCCAGAGTTCATGCATTTATTAGACCCCTAACATGGATTGCCTTAAAACCGATTCTCTCTTTTTATCGGATATTAAGCGGTATGTGACAGTGAGAAATGTTTATTTTTTCAGTGTTGTACAACAAAGTAACTGTTAATTTACATTAATGATCTCAGCAGTGCAATTCAGTGGTCCCTCTTATTAAATCATTTACTGTGTTTTCTTTAAGAATGTGGTTTCGTTGTTAGACCTACTGTGAAAAGGTGTTGTATTCTTGGAGTTTTTAGAACATAACTATTGATTCCTACCCGAAGCCTTTGTCATTTATGAAACGTACTGAAATGTGTTATAGTTTAATTTACTGCTAGAAGTGTTCAACGTCCCACCTGGATAATATCTTGCAATCCATTGCTTCCTATTGGTAAGTTACATGCCACATTAATTCCAATGCCTCAGCTAATTCATTTAACAGCTAGATGTACTACTAATCCTCATTAAAGAGAAAATTACATGTTTTGATACAGAGTTGTCTAACTTGTATTATAAAATAAACTCCCACACTATAGTTTCTTGCATACTAAAAGTTAAATTTCCAAAATAAAATATTCGACTGGGACCACGATTACAAGGGTTCCTAGCAGGCATGGTTGCCTTGTATTTTAATATTTGACGCATTCTGGAGATTATAATTGTAAGCGGCACAAATATTGATTATTTAAGTTCCAATAATAACCCATCACTCCGCGTGTTCGAATTTATTACATGTTGTATGATGAAAACTTCATTACATATGAATGTTTCCAGATTGGTTCGCCGAATGAATGTACGAGTATAAGTTGTTATTTTTTTTTCATTGACGCTATATCCCTCGTTTGGGCCTTGGCCTACCTCCATGAAACTCCGTTTCACTTCGGTTTACTAGATCTTACACATACGGTAGGACTCCTTGGGCGAGTGATCAGCTCGTCGCAAGGCCTCTACCTTTAGACAAACACAGAAAAACGCACACAAACATCCATGCCCTGAGTGGGATTCGAACCCACGATCTCGGCTTCCGAGCGAGCGAAGACAGTGCATGCCTTAGACCGCTCGGCTACCGTGACCGGCGTAAGTTGTTACAGGGTACTCAATACTTCCCTTAAGAAGTGCTTAGCTTTAACACAGCCATATTTTTAACCAGTTGCTTAAGACCAGAGCTGAAAAGTTGCCATATCACTGTTATGGTCTTTTATAGAGATTAGCCACTAAGCTTGTTCCTTTCCAATACTGCAATTCTGTCCCATACAGTGGTACTTTGTCCCTTCCTTCTATTGTTTTTTAAGAATCCAAAGTTAGAAATAAACAGACTTCTATTCATGTCTGTGTTATTTTATTGCAGTGTTGTTTTGTATCTTCTCGTTCATACATTTTTGGGCACCTAACCTGCAATGCAGCCACCTATATTTCATTCTGCTTAAATATTTGTAATGGTCCAAGTTACCGGTCTAGAAAACCGATATTAACGGCCATGGGGATTCGTTGCGCTGACCACGCGACACTCTCTATCCGCAAAAGTTGGCACTAAACTTCGCCGACAAGCAGCGGTCGCTCGGTCGGTATAGTTTGCTTGCGGACTAAAGCCACTGTTTTTTTGTTTTAATGGTCCACGTTATATAACATTACTGATATATACAGGTAAAGCGGTCCCTATGCTTAATTGACAAGCACCACGCCATGAAGACACATGGGAGAATGGAGGTATACCTCCACCATTCTCGACCTCGGCACTGGATGGAAGTGAGTGTTCAGCTTCACGTCCCGGCCTCCATTACTCCTGGGGAAAGAGCTACCGGTACCCACTGGATAGGAAGTTGGGTGGGCCCCGGAGCCTGTCTGGACGTTATGAGAAAAATATTTTGCCCTCTGCCAGGAATCGAACCCCGGGCGACTAGCCCTTCGCTATACCAACAGAGCTATCCCGGCTACTAGCTACTGACATTAAAGGTAAAATCCATTGATACATAGATAGATGGGTTGTGAAATACCGGGCCCTACAAGAAAGGAAACTAGACTGAATTATACCGACCTTGACTATTAAGTATCCCGGACACTTCGCTTACCCACCTTCCCACGAACTGTTAAAGAAATTTTAAGACTGGTTTGAGTACAAAATCTGGTGAGCACCTGTCCCCCCTCCCTTCTCATTAACATGTCGGTGAGCTCGGTGAGTGAGGATGTAGGGGACCAACCACTGAATAGTTCGGCGCGGTATATCACACACCCCCACATCCACTCGCAGGCTTCCCTCACTCAGCTGTTTCGTGGCGTCCCAACTGCTGTTAGGAAACTTCCTTGCATTATCTCGAGTATAAATTCATTATCACCTTCCATGTATATAATGTCTGTAGATGAGCCGAGGTACTGCACTTAGTAAAGTGCTGGCTACAGACTGGAAGACCGGGTTTGGTTCCCAGTAGGTGTAGGAGTGCTCCTCCTCACTACTTTCCAATCGGATGTGGACCTCCTTGCTACAGAGCAGCGCTTCTCAACCGCCGGGCAGCAGCCCAGTAGTGGGCCCTGGCATCAGTTATACTGGGCCGCGAGAGGCTCTTCTGGAATTTGTCATTTTCAGTTTCTAAGCATTTTTCATGAATAAATATTTTATAGTGGAAATATTCTGAGGAGAAGAATATTTGTGTCGAGAAGCTCAGACACAGAACACCTAAATCTGTGTAGCAAATGTCAGTGACCAAGCCGCATATTTTTAAACATGGAAGTATTCATGAATGATCGGGAATTTTCAGACATCCAAATCTTTCAACATTCGTCTGTATTATAGCTTTCGTTCTGTCTACACGTTCTCCTCTCACTCTCTCTGCGTTTCCGGTTTGTTACTTGTGTGTGACGAAGGGGGTGTGTGCAATGCGGGAAGGGAGAGGGAGTAGTTTGCCGTCTTCTTCCCCCACCATCCCTGACCCGACTGCAGTGCAAACGTTAAGAATGCATGGAGCTCAACATTCACTCCCTCTACAAGCTCTGCGGAGTGGTGCTTAAGTAAAAAAGTAAAGTAAAGCTATCCCTGTAACAGGCCGTGAAGGCCCATAGGGTTGTGAGACGTTGAGGGTCCCACATTATCTAGACAATCGGCTCAAAGATGGCGGTAATGTTGTCAGCCTTACGCGCCGGCCGCGCTTTACTCCACAGGAAAATTATTTAATTAATTTCTGGTACTCATTTCTGTTAGAGGCTGAGTAAGCCCCAGGGCCTAGTGAGGCTGGAAGGATTAGGTCAACTGAAAAAAATCCAGTGACCTCATCAGGACTTGAACCCGCGACCTTCGCGAAATCTTACCTTCTCACGTTCAACTGAGTGTCGTGCATGTTGAACTGTAAAGTTGTGGAAGGAACGAGTCGTGGCCTGTTTCAATGCACAATCCCAGCAACGGCTGAGAGGAACTGAGGAAAGCTACACAATTATCAATTCTTGTTTCGGTCACAAGTTGAAAACAGGAAAAGGAAACAAATGTTAGGTCATCTCTGAGATACAAAGTTATACTCGCAATAGGCCGTGCCATAGCTCAGGCAATTAGTCGCCGGCTTCCCACCACGGCGGTCCGAGTTCTTGCCCTGGTCACGCCATGTGGTGGACAAAGTGGCACTAGAGCAGGTTTTCTCAGGGCACTTCGGTTCCCCTGCCAATTCTCATTCCACCGGCTGCTCCCTATTCATTATACACGTATCTATTATCCGGGGCTGTACAATAGGCCAGTTAGTGGCCCACCGCTGTAGGACACACAATCATGGCACATCCATAAAATGTTCACATTCGGGCACTGAATTTCTTTATCCGACATAGAGTAAAGTTGAAACTCGAAGTCCCGATCTTCTTTGCAGGAGGTCTGGGGGATTCTCGAGGAAAATGTTCAGACCTAGCGAAAGTTTCGTCCAGTTCTCTGTGCGCTCGGCATTTCGATTTTCTTTGCCAAGTAACGACTAGATCGGCGATAAGCTTGAAATTTTTCCCGACACCACCACCACCACCACCACCACCACCACCACCACCAACAACAACAATAACAACAAGAGAGAGACAGATGTGTTCCAGCGAATGCTGTAATCTGGAGAATTTGTACTTGTGACTTGTTAGGCTACAGGCTTGTCCAGCCGCTCACAGTTGCCGCGCGGTCTAAGGCATGACTCACTCGAATGCTGGGGTCGTGAATTCGAATCCCACTCAAGACATGGATGTCTGTGTATGTGTTTAGGTTCGGTCACACAGAGCGCTACGTACGCTATGTTCGCTATACGAACAGAAAAATATCTCCCTTTATTGCCAATGTGACTGGCCACACAGACTTCCATACGCTACGTACGCTATATTCCCTATGTTAGTTGCGTCGCAGAATGTAAACAGCGTACGTAGCGAACATAGAGTAGCGCTCTGTGTGGCCGAACCTTTTATTCTGTGTTTGTGTTGTCCTGTGTATAGGTAGAGGCCTTACGACAGGCTGATTCCCCGTCCAAGAGTTCCACTGAACTGAAAAAGCGGATGTAGAGCTTAGACCTGTCGATTCCTATAGTAATCTTAATCAAGAAACCGCCTCTGTGGTCTAGTGGTCAGAGTTCCTGGCTACAGATGCAGAGGTCCGGGTTCAATTCCCGGCGCTACCAGATTTTCTGAGAAGTATTGGGTCTGGAACGGGGTCCACTCAGCCTCGTGATAATTGAGGAGCTATTTCAAGGAAATAGTGGCTCCGGTCCGGAAAACCGAAATTATCGGCCGTGGGGATTCGTTGCGCTGACCCCGCGACACCCTCTATCCGCTAAAGTTGTCACTACCAGGCCGATAAGCGGCGGTAGTTCGCTTGCGGACTAATGCCACGGAGCTAATCTTAATCTAGACTATGCAGGAGCGTCAGGACACTCCTATCTGAGCCGTTCAACGATTTGAGGAGATCTCCAAGATAAATGACGGGAACCTGAAAGAACCGCACATGAGCTTCCACATTTGTCGGAATTTTGTTGTGATCCATGAAAGGTAAGAGCAGAGTATTATATAGGCTTAACTTCCGTTGATGTTGCATGAACGTTAGCTGTTAACAAGATAGCAGCCTCCTGTCTGGCTACTGCCGCCTAAAAGCCAGACAGTAAAATAGACCCAAAAATGACTGCGCTGGCAAGGGCCAGAAGCAACTGTAAACGACAGGCCCGTCGTCTCGTCAGAGAGAGAGAGAGAGCGAGCCCCATATCAACAAACCCGCAACTGTCTGGTAGTAATAAAAATCTGGTCGTAAGCCTCAGATGGGTGCTTTATTCCAAGACAGACTGGCCGACTGACCGTCGGTCGTAACATAAGACTCGACTCGACTGGTCTTCAGAATGATTCTACAGAGGACTACAGACAACACGACGTACGTGCTTCTTTTCAGGCTTCTGCTTGCAT